GGAGTTTCGAATTTACTAAATATACAGCCGTGCGCAACGAGTAAGTCGCTCGCACTCGGGCGAATAGAGAGGGAATTATTATATTTTTATTATATAAGGGAATTATAGGAGGAGCGTCTTAGTTGAGAATGAAGGTCTTGGACAAAAGTACCCTCGAGCCTCCTCTCCGATATGCAAAACTATGCATACATTAAAAATTGAAAAAGGTACGATGCGATGGTTGATTTACAGGTTTATTTTATGTACGAAGGGACTGACTGATGTATCATCTGTGAAACAGCTGCACAATTGGTTAGTTACAAAATTATAAAAGGATGTACTCTCGGTTTGTCATTTAATATGGATGCTGCAGGATAAATCGATAGATATACGTCTGAAAGGTAAGTCTTTCAACCATCGATAGACTTTTTATATTCAAGCTCAATTTGCCCATTAAAAAATTGTGATTGCCTTTTCTTTTCTCCTTTTCTCCATAAATGTCGTTGTACAAAAATTTACTCATAATTTTGCCAACTAACAATTATTTCTGCAATGCAGAAGAAGTCGGGAGTGAGTTGTTTGATAAATCGTTAACAATGCCATTATCGTACATGCGAACAAATCGATATATTTTTCAAACATAATAATAATAATAATAATAGAAGCTTATAAAACAAGCTCGGAGAAAATTAATTTTTCACCTTCGACGTAGTTAATTTTTACCACTCGCTTGAAATACTTTAGCGTGAAATTTGAATAAATCGTCGAGTGCAACTTGTCAAACACATCCAGCCAAATATTATAAGTGTGACATCTTATTTCCAACGACCAAAGAGTCTTTGCTAACGTGCCTCTCCGCCCCTCGCCGCCCCATCGTTCGCTAACCCTCTTGCTTCTCCTCGTCTTTCACCGCTATTATCATGTAATCACTTTTTCTCTGTTGCCTTAATTAATTTATCAACGATCTTCTATGATATTTCCCATGAAACTTTCGCTCCCGAGAATTTCAAGCAATTCAAAATCGGCATGGCTGCAAGAATACACGGCTAAGGTGGAGAAAAGGAAGATGTGTAATAATTGCTCAAGGTATTTATATTTTAGTGCGGGCGAGCAATAATTTTTAATGAACTCGCGCTTTTACGATTACGAGGAGTTCGTAGTAACTTTTGACCATCTAGAATTCCTACCTGATAAACATGAATTAATAACGAGCATAAGATTATCGATCGATCCGACAGTACTTTCCTAAAATAATAATCCCTCCCGCTCAAAGCGATAATAATTCTTCTTATTCGCGCTAATTGGCCACCATCCGCCACCTTATTATCGCCTATCGGATTTAATTATTAAACGCTTATCTTCCGACCTACGTCATTTCAGGCCAAATCACCGTGGCACCCGACCCTTCTTCCTCCATTATCGCAATCACTAATTCTCTGCCACATGATATCGCTGGCTTTACACTCCGATACTACATTACAATTAATCCTTGACTACATGGTCAATGATGCAACGTTTCGCCTACTTTAGCCTAAGATGCTCGACGACATCTTCATCGAAATAACATGCATCTATCGATCATTGTTAACTTTCATAGCGCGTACGTATTTTACCGAACGTTATTCATTTCTCAAATTGCTCTCGATAGCCACGATAGTCTCGGAAGTCTCGTTATTGCTATCTTCCTACGTACCGTACCGCGTACGTAAAGACGCAGAATACCGACATGAACGATAATATCGCGATGATACTGTGGGCTAATAAAAACGGCTCCGTCGCTTAATCAGCGCGCGTCTGCAAAACTTTCGTGACGCCGAATCTCACTCTTGTTTTGTTGATTTTTTTTTTTTGTTGATGTTGTAAGATAAGGACGAGGAGGAGCGTTTTAACGTTATCGAGATACGTACGTTATTCGTGGTACACGATGACATCCTGCCAATCGCATGGCATGGCCGTCGCACTTTTATCCCACCCGCCGTTTAGGCATTTGAGTGGTTGCGGGACATCATCGGGACTCGGTACAATAGATCGCTGCCGCGATCGACTTGGGCAAAATTGAGATCGAACGTTAAAACGGCGCTGGTCCGGCCAATTGTCATGTGCTAACGGTTGCCTGGCAACGCCACGGCGGCTCGGCCGCTCGCTGGCCGAGGAGCTTCGGATTCGCGCCGCTCGGCACTTTGCGCGAACGACGCCACCGTCGCATTTACCCGGCGGCGATCGCGGAGGCGCGCGTCAGTGGCAGAAACGAGTACGTAATGTTGGCGTAATGTCGTGTGACGAAAAAAATGGCGACTGCCATGGCCCGTCACAAATCTCGTTGCCGTTTAATTTCTATCCCGACTCTATCCACGTCCGCCATATGTGCCGCGTACATCGACGCCGTTTTTCACACTCCTTCGCTCCTCCGTTCCTCCGTTTCTTATCGTTGAGTGTCGAAGCAGCCCGTGACTGAGCTAATTTTCGAAAATACTCGACACTTGAGTATTTATTACCCTGGGATCGCTTATCTCCTTCCTCTTTCCC